TTCTTCGCATTCCTGATGAAAGGAAGGTTGGGTGGGTGATGAATCAGCCTCTATGATTTCTTCGGTATCTTACTTTTATGTGCTTTTGGATGACTGTTTTATAACTGCTTTTACATTACTGTTGGATGACTGTAATGAATTTTTCTTATCTACTGCTTTTACATTATTGTTGGAAGACTGTATTTAATTCCTCTATCTACTGCTTTTAAATTAATGCTGGAAAACTATTTATGTTTTACATCTATTGCTTTTACATTGTTGCTGGATAATTGTATGATTTGGTATGTCTTTTCCATTTTGCTTCATTTTTGTTACAATAACTGCTCCTGTTTATTCTTAAATAGGATAGTAGCTATGGATATAAGGACAATATTAACCATTTATGATGATGATGATGAGGAGGAAATTCTTGTATTGATCGCAGCCGTATATGAGTACTATTATAAACATTTTGATAAACAACGTTGTAGGGATTCCATGTTACAAGGGGAAGATTACATATTCGAGGTCTTAAATGGACATGAAGATAGGTGTTATGAAAATTTTCGGATGTACCCCAACACCTTTAGGGCATTGTGTCGTGAGTTGAAATTGTTAGGATTGAAAGATTTAACATTTCTAACGGTAGAAGAACAAGTTGCAATTTTCCTACTTACCGTGTCTCACAATGAAAGGAATCGTGTCGTTGCTGAAAGATTCCAACACTCTACATCCACAATTTCATATCACTTTCATACTGTATTAAAGTTAGTTTGTGAGTTAGGGACTAAGATTATTGTTCCCCCGGATTTGAATGAAATTCCTAAAGAGATAAAGAACAATCCAAAGTTTTACCCATACTTTAAGAATTGTGTAGGAGCCATAGATGGTACTCATATCCATGCTGTAATGCCAGTTGACCAACAAATATCCTTTCGTGGTAGAAAGGGTGATACGACCCAAAATGTCATGGCCGTGTGTTCATTTGATATGAAATTCACATACATTCTAGCAGGGTGGGAAGGGTCTGCTAATGATTCGAAGATTTTAAATGAGTGCATTCAGAATGAGGATTTCAATTTTCCATCACCACCCGAAGGTAAAAATATTAAGTTTTCATATTTGTGCATTTAACATTACAAATACGTTAACTTTAATACTTAACATACTTAACATGACAGGTAAGTTTTATTTAGTCGACTCTGGGTGCGCCAATCAACCGGGGTTTTTGGCCCCTTACCGAGGTCAACGTTACCATATGCAGGAATATCGTAGACATACTAGAGGACCATGTGGTAAAGAAGAGGTGCACAATTTTAGGCACTCGTCATTGAGGAATATCATAGAGCGATGTTTTGGGTTGGTAAAGATGAGATTCGCTATATTGAAGCAAATGCCCCCTTATCACTTTGACACTCAAGTTCTTATTGTCATTGCCTGTTGTACATTGTATAATTTCATAAGATCCCAAGGTGAATCTGATGAAATTTTTGATTCTGAAACCCCTCAATCTTCACAAAATGAACTTGATGTGGATGACGATGTTCAGGTGGTCAGTGCTATTAATACACAGATACGACAGATGGATATTTATCGTGATGGTATTGCCAACCTAATTTGGGAGCACTGTAATCACTAATTATAAAACTGTCTAATAGTGTGTAGAATTAAAATGTGGATGACTGTAATAACTAATTATATTACGTAAATTAAACTCAGATGCTCCTTATTTATGGATAACTGTAATAACTAATTATATTAGGATATCAAATATTAAATGCTTTAGTACTTGTAGGCGCACTTATGTATAGGCTTGAAGGTGAGCGACCACAATGTGCATGTGGTAGAGGTCCTATGCATTTGTATAGGGCTCGAACTCCAAAAAATGATGGTCGACAATTCTATAGGTGCCCAACTCGGGAGGTATGGTCAATTACTTTTAGGTGCTATTTCTGTTACTGTTTCCTAATTGTATAATTTATATTTCTTGTAGTCACATATGAATGCATTTATGTGGGTGGATGAGTTGCACCAAGGTGCACAAGTTGAAGAACAGGTTCAATCTGACTTGGACAGAGTCATTGCAATGATTCAAAATGAACAATGTAGACAGAAGTACATGCTCTTCCTAGGCTGTGGATGTCTTGCTATCACAATCATGTTTATTGTGATTGTCCTCTTGTTGCTCATTATCGTTGTTATTGAAAGATGAAGTTAGATAAACTTCCATCTTTTGTAATATATGACATGTAATATGTATTTAGTTAATTTCCTGTGTTTCATTTGGTATGTAATATATACTTAAATGGTATATTTTGAACTGCGTATTAGTTGTTGTTGTGTTATCTTCTCTGTCATTTTGGGAGTGAGCTTTAGGGTATTTGTAAAATTTGCTACTGAGGTCATTTACACTCTATTTGCGACATTAGAGAAAAAAAAAGGTTAGATATATCTTGTTTACTACTTCTAATTATTTCATTCCTACCGTGTGTTATTTTATTTTTCTCTAATGTTGTTCATGTCTTTTGTTTTGCATGAGGTCATTTACACTTTAAATTTACAACTAAGCTTGAAAAAAGGTTAGATATATCTTATTTATTACTTCTAATTATTTCATTCCTACCGGATGTTATTTTGTTTTTCTCTAATGTTGTTCATGTCTTTTGTTTTGCATGAGGTCATTTACACTTTAAATTTACAACTAAGCCTGAAAAAAGGTTAGATATATCTTATTTATTACTTCTAATTATTTCATTCCTACTGTGTGTTATTTTGTTTTTCTCTAATGTTATTCATGTGTTTGGTTTTGCATGAGGTCATTTACACTTTAAATTTACAACTAAGTCTGAAAAAAGGTTAGATATATCTTGTTTACTACTTCTGATTATTTCATTCCTAGCGTGTGTTATTTTGTTTTTATCTAATATTGTTCATGTGTTTTGTTTTGCATGAGGTCATTTACACTCCAAATTTGCAGCTTAGCCTGAAAAAAGGTTAGATATATCTTATTTACTACTTCTAATTATTTCATTCCTACCGTGTGTTATTTTGTTTTTCTCTAATGTTCTTCATGTGTTTTGTTTTGCATGAGGTCATTTACACTCCAAATTTGCAGCTTAGCCTGAAAGAAGGTTAGATATATCTTGCTTGAATTAAATTTGTGGACGGTGTCCCTTGTTAGTTGAATTTTGTGGTCGGTGTCCCTTATTGAAATAATTTTGTGGGCGGTGTCCCTTATTAAATGAATTTTGTGGGCGATGTCCCTTATTGAAATAATTTTGTGGGCGGTATCCTTTGTTAAATGAATTTTGTGGGCGGTGTCCCTTATTGAATTAATTTTCTGGGCGGTGTCCCTTGGGTTTATTGTGTTTTGAAATTTTGGAAATGTCCATTTTTAAGGGGAAGTCATGCCGAATTTTTTTTTAAAAAAATAATAATAATTTAATTTAACTCTACTTTATATTTTGCTACTATAGGTAATGTCTTGTTTTACATTCAAATTCATTTTTTGCTACTACATTGAAGGACATGGCAGTAAGTTGTAGGCAGTGGCACCAGTGGGATTGATAGGAAACATTCTCTAGTTGCTGCAACTCCAGAAAGCTAGTGATCTCTAAGTTAATCAAATGGAGGCCTATGCAAGTATAAAAAAGTGGGTGTACATTTTATAGAATGAATATTAGTGATCTCCAATTATGTGTACATTTTATGTAAGTGTAATGAAGTGTGTGTGTACACACATACTATTTTAAAGGAATGTCTAGCTCCTTATATGTGGAAGTATATATGTGAATGGTGCAACACTCAAGTTCTTAAGATTGTGATGTATAAAGCAAAGCTATACGTGGAAGTATATATGTGAATGTCGTTCAGTCTTGTAAGAGGGATCTTCCTTGATTGCTTACTTTTAATCTTTATTCATATTTATCAATTCTGCTTATGGTTGGATATTGTATGAAATATTCACAAGTCCGTTATCAAAATAAATACTCAATAAAAGGGGAAATGGTCTTATGACTAAACAAAAAAAAATATTACCAATTTGAAGGACCTCCACTACAAAATTTCAAACTAATCTAAGTGAAGTAAAACTATTTACAAGCTTCAATGTTCACCAAATTTCAACTCTGACCAATTCAAGACGATTAACGTTTTGGCTTTGTTTCTTGTTAGTTTCAACTACAAGGATCTCTCTCTCTCTCACATTCATTATATATATATATATATATATATATATATATATATGAAACAAAACAAAGTTAAATGGAATGCAAGCCAAAAGAAAAAGATAAATGGAGTGCAAAGATCTACTCTCATTGAAAGATTATTACAAAGTTAGATTTGTAATTTGGTTGCCATTAATCATGTTTATGCAGATTTATTCATTATTACAAAGTAGTTTGGTTGTCATTATACATGTAAATTTAACAAAAAAAAAATTTCCTAACTCTAATGCAGATTTTTTTTTTTTTTTTTTTTCCACAAATTATCTCAAATCATAAAGAAAAATGGACTATTTTACATATAAACTTATAATTGTATTCATATATATAATTTTTCAAAACAAAACAAAACAGTCTTTATCAAACAGGTATTCTGTTATTGATTCAGAATTTTTAATAACAAAGCACTATTCCCAAACGTGTTTTGTTTTTGGATTCCTTAAAACGCATGACAATACCAAATGCTTTATCATGTTTCTGATATACAATTATTAAAAACAAAACAATCGTTACCAAACACGGATCCGATTTCTACTAAAAGCATACCAATACCAAAACAGTTATTTTCATATCATACCAAACCATAACATATAACGTTATCGCCATCCAAATGGATAAGGCTTTTTTTTTTTTAATAAAAAAACCAACTTTTATTTGTGGAAGCATCCAATGAATGAAATATGAAAGGTTCGTTTATTGAAAGGAATCATGATAAAATGAAATGTATACATGTAAATTTTTAGAGTTTAGGGTGTTTTGTGCAATTAACTATTACTTTTCCGCCCTTTTGAATGTTCCTAATTCCTTGTTTTCCCTCGCACTCAGTTCTCATTTTCTCTAGTGGAAGCAGGTAACGATGGAGAAATCCGAATTCTCAGATTCGTAAAATTTAGTCAAAATCAAAGGTATGCGCTTATACATATCTAAATTCTCTGTATAAAATTAACTATAGACCGGTCATCACAGATCAATACGATTATATATATATATATATATATATATTCACAGATCAAAAACCCTAGACTGCTTCAAAGGACGATCGATCACGAACAGTCTCAAAATGGGAGAGTTTTCGAGGAACACCGATATGAAGGAGCTGATTTCTTTCAGCAACGACCTCGTTGAGGTCCTGAAGAACGAAAAGGACACCGATGATTTATCGCAGTGTTTGGGAAAATCGGAAGCCCTTCAATCGCAATGCGACGCTGATTACAGCGAAGTACAGATTTTGATTCAAGGTCCCTTTTCATATCTATACATTATACATTCATGCAGCAGCTAGGTTTTTGCACTTGTCTTTGGGTGTTTACTATTCTTGTGTTTTCACTTGGTTTATATTCCCTTTTTTTTAAAAAAAAATCTTTATACTCATGATACGACACAAAACCACTTGAAAGTTTAGTGATTATTCCAATATTAAGATTTTCTAAGTTATTACAAGATAACTTTTTGTGATTATACACACACACATCAGATTTAGTTTAGTGGTGAAAGTTATTTGTATGTATATATACATGTACACACAATTGTTTGACCTTGTAAGAAAAAGTTGTAAATTTATGCTTGTTTAAAGTAGGATCTAGAAGTGTTGTTTTAGGCTTAAACCAATTACCTTTCGTGGCTGTGTGGATTAACTTGATTAACCCGCTCCAAATATGCAAATGAGATAATCGACCACATTGGTAGGATCCCTTTGTTTCTTTTTAACAGTTTGTTAGACTAAACTAACTATATGAGAAAAAATCATTTAAGGTGGTTTGGATATGTGAAAAGAAAACAACTAAGTGCGTCAGTTAGGAAGAGTGACATGTGGTTTATCTGTGGTTATTGCCTTAGATAGATTGAAATGAAAAAAAATAAGAATCATTACTTATCAAAAAAAAGAAATGAAAAAAATAAGAATCATGCAGTTGACCCTAATTAGTTGGGTAAAACGGCTTTGTTGAGTTAGATTGAACTAGTTTGGCAGATACTAATTGGACTTCTAATGTTTTGTGCTTTTAGCTTGGGTTTTTAGTTTTTTATGATTGCATAGAAAATGTTTTGTAATTGTTCTATTTGGGCGCCTATTAATGTTTTTGGGAAGAGATAAAACAAGAGGATATTTGAGGACAAGATGCTATATTGACAGGTTTTGAGGATAAATTAATGTGACGTTCTCCTATTTGAATTTGACCAGAAAGCATTCAACTTTATTCATGATTGGGACAAGCTCTGGACATTTAATTGAGAGAAATGGCCCAAATGCAACAATTCCTGATTGTAATAAGAGAGAGGGAATAAAAATATTATCTAGCTGCACAAAGGTTCCATCATGGCACTTTGTGTAGCTGCCCATGTCCCTTTATTAATGTTAAGCTGATTTTTGGAATGGAATCAGTCATCCGCGATATGGATGTATTTGCATGTATAGTTTAGAAAATTTTCTTTTCTTATTTCAATCCCAATGTTGGCTGAACCTTTATCCCTCTATTGGCTTTACAGAAGCTATAAGCTTAGGATTATCCAATATTATCCTTGATTGGGATTAACTGAATGTGATCAAGAAACGGAACAGGATGCATCTTTGGTCTTGCTTTAAAGTTGGACACTTGGACCACAGTTTATATTAGAATCTACAGATTTCTACTGTGAACATTTTTCTCAAGAGGGACCAACTTGATTCTGAGTTGTATGGAGCACTTTTATTCCTTCACAAGAAACCCCTGGTGGAAGGCTTATTGTAGCTTGGTCATCTTGTTCTCACCCTTCATCTATTTATTCTAAATGGCGATTTCTGGTGCTTCATGTCCCTTTCCCTCCTTAGGTATGCTCTAGATGTATTCATGAGTAAAAAAATGTCAAATTCAAGCCCGCTTATCCTTTATGCACTCATTAACGAGGTGTGAATCTCATTCATTTTAATTCTTTGTCTTTTATGTGTTTATTTGAATTAAGATGCATATGCCAACAAAATCTGCAATTTTTTTTTTTCCAGCAACCTGGAACGCTGCTTCAATCTGACACAAAATTTTAATTGTTTTCACAGACATATATTTATTGTGGAAGAAGATCTTTGATGCCATGCTATATTGTTGACCAGTTTTTATATTTACCAGATTATCATAAAAAGATAGATGCATCCAAGCAGAAAACAAATGAAGCAAAATTGGGAGTTGTTCCTGATGCAGAAATAGACTTTCTTCAAAAGGAATTGGAAGAAGAACTTCAAAGAGAACGTTTGCTTAGGGAAGAGCTTAGATAAGTATTTTGTTAATTTCAGTTGTACGTTTTTTGAGATTCTTGGTTGTATGTCAATGGTGTTGATTGGTGATTTGTCTTCAATTGTATAAACACAGCTATCACTGATGAAATTAATGATCTAGAACACCAAAGGGTGTCCATTGAAGAACGAAAGCAACTGCTGAAGAAAGTTGAGCAAGAAGAGCTCAGAGCACAGTGAGTAAATGGCCAAAAACTTGTTGCAAGCATTTAAGGATTATCCTTTTATGTTACACACTGCATATGTCTTTCATGGTCTTAAAATTTTATTCTAAGTTCAAATGTCCTTGTATTTATGCCCAGAATTTTAAGGCAGCAGGTGATGGTTAATGATTGAGATTCTTATATTTCCTGTCGTTCATGTCTTGAGCAAACAGAAGTTTGGTTCCGTGGGTGCCTTTTTTCTTCTTCTTTGGCGACTGTTTTGTAACATGTTATTGGCTGAAGGTCTTTGTGTTAGGATCGCATACACAATATTGGCAAATATAACAGATAAAAGAGACACACAAATAAGCAAGATTTACGTAGTTCGGCAAATTGCCTACGTCCACGGGCAAAGAATGACTATTTTTACTTCAATACTTTGGTTACACACTCACAAACTCAACTCAGTTTTCTCTCTAAATTTTAACTCTCTCTTCTCTTTTTACCTCTCTTCACTTTTCTTCACTTCTCTGTATTTTGTCACACAAGTTGGTGCCCGACTCACTTGCCTTCTGCTTCTTCTGCTTAAGAGCATGCATATATATAGTGGTAGGCTTGGTGCCTTAGTCCACAGCACATTGCATTAAATGTGCTGTAAATCCAACTACTCATTTGTCTCTCAATTAATGCTTGCATACACAAAATTCACCGCCTTGCAATTCACCACCACATGGTGATTCGACGCCGCAAATCTACTTCCACCATCATATCAAATTCACATGCAAATTACCTGTGTAATTCTATACATATGGAAGCACACATCTGCAGACTCCTTTCTTTCATTACTTTTCCTTCTTTTCTTTTGATTCCATTGTACATCACTATTCATCAATAGTGATTTATGCATCTGCATCAGCACCTACATCATGAATTTTAGCCATATTTCTAACACTTTGAAGCATCGATAATTTTGTATGCAAATAAAACAAATGATTTTATACCAACGGGCCAGTCGCCTAGCGGTGTCAACCTCTTACTTCCCAAAGGGAGGTCAGGGGTTCAAGTCTCAGAAGAGACAATTGTGTGTGAGTACCAACTTGGAAAAAAAAAACAAATGATTATATCATCTTGTTATAATTCAGAATACATGAATAACCTAACCCAAAGCTTATTTGCTTTGTAGCCTTTTTCCCCCTTTACCACCTTACAAGTAGACCTTTGAAAATTTAACTCGGGTAATATATAAATAGTTCCCCCTTCCCTCTTAATCATTTGGTCATTATTTTAGGTCTCTCTTTAGATACATGATACATCATTCAAGACAGGGACAATGACAGTCCATGCAAACTGAAACTACACCTCGCAAGAGATTTGATCACTAGAAGATTTCTGTGGGATTGCCCTGCCTGCATGCTGGAAAGTCAAGGGATGTACCTTTCCACGAAAATGTTTTTTAGATAACACAGCCAAACTAAACCATATATTTTCCTGTGTTGAAGCAAGACAGCCTACCTCGGCTTTTTTAGTACTTACTGTTGATTAGCGCTTTTTTTCCCTTTCTCCTGGCAGTCCATGGCTCTTTGTTTGATCATATTTTAATGAATACATTGAATTTTGTGCTGTGAATAAATTATTACTGTTGCAAAACAGTATGTGATTTATCATCTTTGGCCAAAAAAGCTTTTTTTGGTGCTGTAGACTTGGTAGCAATGGAGATTTGGTTCTCTCTACTTTGTTCATCTAGCTTTTCCTTTTCTTTCTTCCTTCCATATGGGATAATTAACCGTCAGTTCTATAGTTCAGGCATTGATTGGTTTTTCTTTTGGTCTTGTAGGAGGAAGCTCTCAATGTATGCTTCTGTCACGAACATAATTCCAAACCTGGATGACCAGTCCATAATATCAGGTCGTATCCTTTTGATTGACTTGCTACTTGTTCTTCATTTCTTCTCTCTTTCTTCTTTATTAAAATTGTGTTGCTATTATCACTGTAGGCTTTATAGTATAGTACATTGCAGGGGACTTGGTTCTCCTTGAACTTGATGAATTACAGATATTGTTGATAGAGAGAAAAAGGTGGTTGAGAAGTTTGAATTTCACCCAGGGAAGGAGACTGCCTTTGATACATGCAATGGCATTTGGAAGATGATAAATCTTCCATAGAACCAGGAAAATTCTTCTCTTTACAAGCCTTATTTAACCAGTGTATCATGTCGCAGAGTCTTCCACTTCTGTGGATGCTTTAGCATTTTTGTATTCGGACGCTGCAAAGATATTTGATTCTTGTTGATTTCCGTTTGCTCGTTTTAAAATTCTTTTTGGTTATGTTTTATTAGAAGAGAATATCATGTGTGTATGTGTGTGTTAGATCACAACAGAATATGCAATATCCTTGTTTAAGTAGCCAATCATGATTCTGAAGCATTGAGACCGTATCCTCCGAAGTCTATAGCAGCAGCAGGTGTTGGAGAAACAGAAACACAAGGAATGAAGGGATTGTTAGAAAATACTGGAAAAAATCATATGCTGAAAAACATTATATGTTCTGTTTGGTTCTATTTTTTAAGAATGGTTTGATATCAGTAAAATTTTGGAACTAGTTTGTTGTATTTATTTATTTATTTATTTTTTTAAAAGTAAAAGCATGTATGTGTCTAAATATTTTAGGAGGCGATACTGAACCTATTGGTATTCTATGTAAAGCATGCCAAGCTCCACGTCTTTGTCATGGTGAACCTTTGTGGTATATAAAATGCTGCAACGCACCAATTTGAATAAGCATATCCTTGGCTTTTGATGCATTTAAATGTCAAGACCTTGTGATATTACCAAGCCCTTGTCCTTTCCTATGCAACACAACCCTTTATCACAGGAGGGAAATGTAGTACTCGAGACTTTTCTTAAGAGGATAAATACTAATCCTCATTAATATGTTGGTAGCTTCGAATTTACGGAAAATCAAATTCAAATAGCAATTACTTTGAAATTAAAGATTAATTAAACAATGCAAATGCAAATTCAAACTAACAAAGACATATCTTCACCTGGCATCCGCAAGATACCGTCTCTTTTATCTCTGTTATTTATTTTGAAATCGCATACTTAGTTGATCGAAAACTTCACTTCAAAACGATTGTTGAGTTGTTTAAACTAATTTTTCAGTAATCCACGACCTCAATTTCATAGCTGCAAATGTAATACTGTATTTATGTATCAGTAAAGTGTCAAATATCTTCTCTAGGACTTTATTAGTATTTATAGCTCATATATTAGAATTGTGGCAAGAAATATTATTTTATTTTGTATATCTTGACAAACACACAAATTCACTGGTTTTAATGAGAATTTAAACTCTTTAACCTATCATTTAAAAGGTTGAGAAATTATAGCTTAACCTAATTTGGAGAAATTACAGATACATGAATTTATGGAGGATATTTTACAATTAGGTGAAGTCAAACATGTCAAATTACAGTTAGGTGAGTTTCAAATTGAACTGATGGTCCTATGGTTTAACAGTTCATTATTTTGAAATTCTTAGGCGGCCATTTTTACTAAGCATGTTGGATCCATTTTTACTAAGCATGTTGAATGATCCAAAAGGGACAGAGGGAGTATATTGTAAAATGTAAAATGTTTATTACATGTTGTAAAACTTTTACTTAAAAAATGGTAAATGTACATTTTCTCTATCCATTAGTTGTACCTTTGAAAGTAAAAATTTTATATCATGCAATAAAAAAGAAAATTTTACATCATGCAATAAAAAAGTTTTACATCATGCAATGAACATATTGCATGTAGTGAACGTTTTATATTCTACAATAAACAAAATATTTTAATTATAATATCTTTTTGAAAGTGGTACAGTTCTTACATGCATGAAAGTTTTAAATTATGCAATAAATTATTTTACGTTACTGCTGTAAATGTTTTACATTTTGCAATATTGAAAGAAAAATTAATGAATCATTTTAATAATGGAATTTATAGAATTTACATGATTTTGGTAAAAGCTCTCTTGTTAAATCATTTTAATAACCTCCTTGACTATCTTGCTTTGTAAATTAACCCATCGTCTATACAAAACGTTACAAAAAAGACCCTTCCGATCACCGGATCACATTTCTCGGCACCCAAAGGGTCAAAATTATCAAAATTCCCCACTTATTAATTTATATAAAAGTTATAAAATATCATAAATGTAGAATACTCATAACAACCTCCGGGGGCTATCTTGCAACTAAGTTCAGAGAGTTTTTTTTTTATTTTTAAATTTTGCCTAATAATAATAAACAATAGCAATAATAATAATGATTAATATTAATAATAACTAATAATACTAGTAGTAGTAATACTAATAATAATAATAATAACAATAATAGATGTAGTGGAAGTAATAATAATAATAATAATACTAGTGACAGTACTAGTAATAATAAAAATATAAAATAATAACCAAAAAAATTACTTGATGGATCCATATACCTCCTATAAACAATTTTTGCAAGCTCATAAATAAAAAAAAAAAAAACCTAATAAAATTTAGGGCAGTCTAAGTATTTCAAAATAATGGAATAGTGAAAGTGAATGTCTGGAACAGTAATTTGAAGAACTCACTCAATTGTAATTTTACAAGTTTAACTTCTTAACTGTAAATTTCCCTACGTGAGTTCATGTATTTGTAATTTATTATTATCAAACCTGAATCCTGAGTTTTTTTAGGTTTGTTGGGCCGGACATCCAGTGGCCCAGCTATATCTCTACCTCTCCGCCACTACACACTGCAGTGTGTGCGTACTGTGCCTAGCTTTCACAATTCACAGCGACGGAAGAACGGCAACTTCTCTATCCATTTCCCACATTTCGCTCACAAACATTTTCCATCCATTCTTTCTCTTCCGTTCTGTTATAATGCACAAACCAAAATCCAAACTCTAAATTAGGAAATTCTAGGGTTTTAATTTCATCATAAAGCTCTAACTTGTCATCAATGGCGTCAATTAACTTCAATCCATTTGGCGAAAACTGGTTCACGAAACCCCCAAATCCCTTCCCACCCATCAATCTCCTCTCCTTCACTGAATCACTAAACCCCTTCAAACGCCCCAAAACCCTAAATTTCGCATCAATCAGCGGCTCAAACCTCTCCAAAGAACCCAAAAACCAGCCCAAAAAACCTGGAAAATACAAGCGAATGTTGGAACGATTCTTCTGGGAATGCGAAAACCTTCCCGACTATCGCCACACCCCAGAGGTCGAGAAAATTCTCAACGATGATCCGGTCTTTGAGAGGAAGGAGAACCCGACCCCAGACGAGCTTGAAGAGAACGAGAAGTGGTGGTCTGAGTTTCGGAATAGTCCGGTGGTTCAGTTCTTGACTCGGGCCGAAGAGATTGCTGATAAGATCAATGAATTGGAGCTGAAGGAGAATGAGAGCCCGTATCGCAGTGAAGACGAGAAGCTGTGGAAGGCGTTGCCGAATGTGATTGGATTGGATGGCCGGCCAATGCCGCGAAAGGCAATAAGGACGAAGAAGCAGTCGGATGATAAGTTTTGGGATTTTGCTCGGCAGTTCTTTTTTGGGCTTTGGGGTTTCCGGCAGCGCCCGTACCCACCAGGGAGGCCCATTGATGTTTCTCAGGCAATTGGGTACAAGAAGCTTGAAAAGCGTTATTATGATTGTAAGTCTATTTAGTTGGAACTTTAAGTGAATTCATACATATTTATGTTTGGTTTGTTCTTATTGGTTGAGTAATGTTTTTTCAGAAGTGAATGTATTTGGGGTCAATTTAAGTGTGATTGTAGAGGGTAATATGGTTATGTGTCAAGCTTTGACTGATGTAGTTGTTACCCATAGTTAGGAGAATGTGCAGTGAGCTACTGAATAATGAGTTTGAGTCCCAGTAAAGGAATTGGTTTTCTTATTAGTTTTAAGATTCACATGGTCCTAATCAAGTGCATAATTTAGACAATTTTATGCTAATTCTACTTCCAAGTAAAGAAATTGGCTTTCTTATTGGTTTTAACATTCACGTTGTTCTAATCAAGTGCATAATTTAGACAATATTATGCTCATTCTACTTCCTGTCAATTTAATACATCAAAAAGTTATAAAAGAAAAACTACTGGATGTTTGTCTGGCTGTTTTATGATATTAATTGTCTCCTTCCTTTTTCCTTTCATTTAATTACATGATTATTTCGGCATACATGCTTTATTGGCATTTCTTTGATATTTGGGACCATTAGAGATATTATATTATGGATTTATGAATTTCTGTAGTAATTTTTTAAACTATTTTTAATCTAACAGTATTGTCATAATCCCTTTGTTATAGTTATCATGAGAAGTGGTGGTTGGTACTACAAGGATCGCTTGGGTCGTACAAGGGGTCCAATGGAGCTAATACAACTAAAGACTGCTTGGGGTGGTGGGATCATTGACAAACACACTTTCATTTGGGGTGAGGACATGGATGAATGGGCACCAATTGGTATGGTTTATGGTTTGGAGCGTGCAATTGCCACTTGGGAAGGTTAGTAATATTTCTTGCGTTAGAGTTTTGAATTTTTGCAGAATTATATACAGGAATGATATTTAACGTCTCGGTTACGCATATTGAATATTAACTTTCTTATTTATGTATTGGGTTTTTGTGGCCTTTTCATCTTGTTTCCATGGGTTTCGCTCCCCTTTGAGCGTTTTTTTATAAAATTCGTACTTGCCAAAAAAAAAAAAAAAAAAAAAAAAAAAAAAAGAGGCTTATACCGCTAGGCCATTGGCCCGTTGGTATTGTGAAGTGGAATTACCCACTAAATGGATTATGGTAGCTCTCTGTCAGCAATGCAACAGTAATATGTGGCACCCCATAGTTAGTAGGGACCCAAACGGAAACATGTGATTTAATCAATTAGTTCTATTCATCTGATGCAATCTCTTCCAATTATTTTCTATGGATGTTAGAATATTTTGCTTGGGTGAAGGAGATCAGTCCAGTGATAGAATTGTGTCATATGTGCCTTGGTTTTGTACTGGTCCATTTTTTTATGCTTTCCTGGATGATAGATCTCTAGGATGTGATTTTTCCTGTTCCAACTTCCAAATAAAGAGGTTTTGTTTTCAATTTTCATTCAATTACTGACTCTTGGTGTGTGTCTGGTTAATCTCCAGTTAGACTAGGTGCTGCAGCAACAGCTTTCATTCACAAACTACAGAAAGGTATACCTCCTTGGGTTCCTCTCAAGGGTCATGAAAATAAAACCTATAAGCAACTTCAAGAAGAAGCTTATGAAAGCAAGAGACGTGATTTGGCTGTGCTGGAAGCTAATAATGGTGTCTGGCCTGGTGCAAGAATTCCCAGTCATGCCTTGTTTCTCTGGGCTAGTGGCTCTGAGCTGACGTCAATTTTGGAAGCTGACCATATGCCAAACAAATACATCCCGAAAGATCTTCGGTATCACTACCAATCTTTCTTGCTTCCTTATCGCATTTGTTCCTTTATGAAACAGTCAAAAGAAAGTAATTTTAATAAATGAAGGGAGATACTACAGGTGGTGTTTTAATTGAAGTCATGGTCTTATACTCTTAGCAGAATGGAAAAACACATTCATGTAACTGATCCAAACTAGTTGGAATTATCCTTTATTTAGTTGAGTTGAGGGTGTATATTGCTTAAGTTTTAATGTAAATTTACTATTACAATTCCATCTCCTTGTAGTTACATTTAAAAGTTTTAACTTCCTTTTGTAAAGCTTGCCCATACCAATAAGTAGATTGGAAGTAGGTTTGAAAGGGAGAGTCTTATTGTTGGCCAACATCACTATCTTGCCTTCTCTTGAGATTATGATATATATATGTATATATATATATTTATATATTAATTATTCTTATTCTTGACTTTATCTTAGCCTTTGTATTTTATATTGCTATTGAAACAGTATTGCTTGGCTGTAACAGTAATTTAAAATTTTGTTTTATGTGATGCAGGCTCCGATTGGCTAAAGCAATTCCTGGACTGAGGCCATGGGAGGTTCTAAGTGTTGAACAAGCCATGGACCAGATAACATATGGTGGCGAGTGGTATCGTGAACCTCTTGGTTCATACACAACTGGTCCTCCATACATCGCGGAATGGAATAATGATGTTATGGTACATTTTTTGCCCGCAGTTCCTGCACTTGATTCTTATTTTCAAGTTTACTAAAACTTACATCTCAAGAGAAGGCAACCCTTGGTTGCGTCTCTCATTGATTGATGGTATTAAAAAAACAGTTAATTTTTTCACTGGTACATGTCATAAGACTTGAGCTCATAAAAGATGCTGATTTCATCCATCCATAGTTGTCTGCACCAATGCTGGTAGTCAACTCAACTGCTTCATACTGATATGCCCAATCAGCAGAATGGTTGAGTATGGGTTTATTACATGTTTTGTTCAGACTCTGGTATAGATTCGATTCTCCAGGGTCTCTCATTTACTCAACTGTAAGCCTAGCTGTTGCATGTGCCTTAGTTGGAAGCTTACGCGGGTTGGTTTGCTCTGTCCTTGCGCAGAGAATGTTTGATATTTTCTACAACCTCAGTATCCAAGTGTACAACAAACTGGAACGGACAATTCCAGGTTTTACGACTATAATGGAGAAAGTCCAGGAAGATGCTGCGGCGAGGCGAGGCAAGCAGGAGGCGAGGAGGGATGCAAAGAAGAAGGCTGAGGAGGAGATTGCGCTATTTGGTCAAGTTAGAAAGGATCCATAGTTTGCCATAGTTCGTCCTTCATTGATTGGTAATGCTTTTGTATTTTGTATATATATATATATATATATATTTTTTTTTTTTTTAATTTACTTTTTTTTGGTAAATTAGTTTTCTAATCTGTTCGTTTAAACTGGCAGTGTTTTATCTCCAACAGTGGTGGTTTCATTTGTAACTTAAAGCTTTTTAGCTTTTAGATGAAGTTGGATCAGTTCAGATACCAGAAACAGGAAGTCTTGGGCGGCATAGCAACAGAGTTGTACAAATATGTTTCTTTAATTGTATTTGTACTTAGTTTTATCTTCAAGCAATGATTATTTATAGAAATGTTGGAATGGGTTTCTTAACACATGTACTTTTGACAATTTTTATTTATTTATTATTTAATGCCTGCTCATTTCCGTCTTATCATTTATTGATATGAGATAAGGTGCAGAATGGTTTCTTTAAATCTTTTGAAGTGGAAAATATATGCTCTTTCGTTGTCTGCATTTATCGATACACATCTATGATGCTCAATATATGCATTCTTCATTTGGGTCTGTGAGCTATGAAAATAGCACGTCAGAAGAGGTATAATGGATGAGGAGGTATGCCGGGGAACATTATGAGGCTTTTCCTGGGGTTGTTTGGTTGAGTAGGAAGGAAATGAGAGACACAGTTGATGTTCCCTTGAATGAGTTAACCTAGCCTCCTTGTGCCTTCTCTGCTCCTTATTGCCTCCTTTAATCTAGTGTGCTCTGGACTATGGCATCACTGCATGATTCGAATGCAACTTTTTGGTCTCTGGTACGATCTTATAAATCAGTTGGATCGGGTCGGGGTAGTTAAAATCCAGCCCAAAAGGAGATCAAACCAGTTGATGCCACGTGGGATTTCTCATTGGCATCCACGTGGCATGAATGATTAGTCCATCACCTTCGTTTGGCGGTGGCATTACATATGGATCTGATATAAACAGATGTGCCCAAGTAGCCCAACCGACCTAGTCGTATTGGAATTGGAGAGCATCCAAGGAGCTGCCACATGGGTTCCACTGGTTGGTTTTTGGCTTTTGGAGTTGGAAGATTTATACGGAGTACTAATGAAACACAACGACAGCTATGGGAGTACGTGGAGTCAAACCAAAGCTACTTGCCAAACAACCCACCACACGAGGACGTTTGTCCCCCTTTCCTTTATTATCACCACCTCTATGCAGAATGAAAAAAACAGAAGAATTCTCATAGAAGCCCAAAGTGAAAGAAATGGAAGATGGTGTGACAGATACTGATTTCTTAGATTCCAGTATGGATAATAATCATGTTTCAAGAGGAGATCAAGAAGAAGAAGAGAGAAATACCAGGGATAAAGCTGAGGTCGAAGAAAAGAGAGTAGGTGGGCTCATAAAAAGCATACTCTCCAACTTGTTCTCTGGGGGAAAAGAAAATGAAGAAGAAGATAGAGAAAAGAGTGGTGTGGTTAGTGAAGGGAAAGGAAAAGACGAGGACAAGGGAGATGGGGTTTTGAATCATCTCATTCCCAACTTAGTCTCTCCTTTGAACAACCAAACTGAAGAAGAAGGAAATGGAGGGAAAGTTGATGACACTCAAGTTAAAGAAGAGGGAAAAGTTAGTGATGGGGGCTGGAGGTCAGAGGAAGATGTGGGTGGTGGAGGTGGTGGTGGGATGATTAATAATCTGATTTCTAACATATTTCACCGTAGGGAAGGAGGAGGAGAAAAAGAGTGTAGTGAGAAGGCAGAGAATGGAAAGGAGAAGACAGAAGAGGAAGGTGGTAGTGGAGAAGGAAGTATTATTGATAATATTGTCTCCCACTTTCCTACACCCCTTGCAGGTATATCCCCGCCTTTTACCTCTTAATTAATTAATTTTTTATTTTTATTTTTAATTTCTATATGTTTTGATCATATCAACTCAACAGGGTATCAAGATCATGCGTAACACCTCCATATTGTGAGATGGATATGGATTTTAAGTAGTATTTGATTGGTTAGCAAGAAAAATATAGATTGTCTTGGTTTGTAACTTGGTATTTGTCCTGATTTTGAGCTGCATGAGTTGATTTTGTGGCTCATGAAAAGTGTTTTCTTGACTAATTTGAGTCTATGATGAACTCATGAATATGACTTTGTGCTGTTTGTTTTGATAACCAGATAGCACAGGTCCAGCAAGTGATGAGGCCTCTATTCTAATTCATTCCATTATACATGACTGAGAAGAAAGATGTGAGTTGTTAAACAAAGGGATTCAAGTGGGCACATATTTTCCTTTTGATGTACTTTTTGTTCTTGGATTGTCAAAATTTGTTTTCTGTCTCATGCCTCGGAGATGCATTTTATGGTTGATCTATTGGCCTCGAGTCTCCTTCAAGGAGAGGATTGTTCAGTCTACTTGTGGCCTCTTGATTGGTTTGGGTTGATTCCCTGTTCATCCTTTTTGTAGCAGCTTGCATTCCTCTGATAAATTATTCCTTTCGGATTTGTTTTTGTAGCATTTCCTCCTTGTTGCTGCTATGTTTTTGACTTGCCTTTGGGCTTTTAATTTTTTTTTTTTTTTTTTTCATTTTTTTAACCGCAAACCAGAATACAGTTAAAATACAATGAAGAGGAAGAGCAAATTTTTTTTTTTTTTTTCATCATTGATTGGTGGATACGGTCTTTCTTTGATTGTAGGGGGTTTGCCCGTATAACTCTGTAATGGTTTTGTTTCTTTAATATAATTCTTATTGAAAAAAAAAAATGTTTTCTTTTTGACTAATCTAACTTCTAACTGGTCTTAAAAAAAATAAAAAAAAATAAAAAATAAAAAATTTGTGTATGTCTTTCTATTGTTGACTCAAGTTGTTATTACTTTATTACCTTAATAAGTCATTCGAAATGGGATGAAATGGAAATTTATTAAGATGATTGGACGGACTTACCAGTCATCAATCATTTAAAAATATGCACTTGGAGCCTTTTTTTCACGATAGATCAGGTGGATGATTAGATTTGGAAATGATTTCTTGAATTTAGGCTCCATTTGGTTTTTGTTTCTGGATTTAGCAAGGGAAAAGAGAAAACATCATAAAGGGAAATTATTTTTCCTACTCTGCTCCTCTGTCTTCTTCTTTTTAATCTCAAATTAACATTACTCGAAGAAAATCAATTCTCTTCTCCATTTCATTTCTATTTCCTTCTCTCCAAGTTCATAAACCAATTTGTGAAATTAACAAAACTTCGAATAAAATCAAGTCGTTTTCTTTTCTTCTAAATAACTCTGTCCCATATTAATCATTTTTTTTTTTTCGATTTTTAGCCGTTTCGCAATAGTTGTCCACTCTCAAAAACCAAATGCATTATATTTAAAAACATTCTCATTTTACCCTTATCACATTTAAATTATAAAACAATTAAAGTTAAAAAAAGACAATACTAGAACCCACCAAATAATAACTTTTACATAATTTCCAACACTTTTATTTATGATTTCGTTGAAAAGTAGTACAATCGCAAATTTAAAAGACAAATTTTAAGAAGGGTAAATTTGGAAATCCATCACACCTATAATTATAAAAAATTAATAAAAGCCAATCCATTAAAAAGTCAAATTTATAATAGTGGACAAGTAAAGTGGGACGGGAGTAAACAAACAACATTTTTTTAAGAAATTATTATTATTTATTGCAAGAAATGCATCCCCATCTACACACTTTTTGCCTACGCCTGGAACTTTTTTTCTTCTTTTTGAGAATGAGAAGATTATATCATAAGGTTACATAATTTAGATGTTGATTGGTAACTAACAAACTACTTAATTGAAGTTTTATTTCAAAATAGGTTTGATTCATTTTTAATTTTTAATATTATATATTTTTTGGAACTGGTATCTAAGTTTTCACTTAGCCAGATAACCTCTCCAAAACAAAATTAGGAGAAGTGGAGTTATTACACGGTACGGGATCATTAGTCCCTTATACATTGAGAAATTTTAGATGGTCCACTTCGGGGACCCTGGTATTATCAGGTGAAACAGGGCCCCAAGGATCGGATCAGCCCAAACAGTTTTCCGGATCAGGCCAGGTTGATCTTATACCAATTCTTTAGGTTGGGCGGAGTTGGAAGAAACAAGATCCAAGTTCAAGCCCATACTTGGGCCTAAAACCCCAATCCATTATGAATATCAAAAGTCCACTTAGCCTGCCTTCTGTGGTCGTATATATTCACTTGGCTAGGGTTTAGTTTCCTTCCATTCATCACAGCTAGAAGGAGAGCAGCGAAGGCGGAGTCCCTAGGCTTGAGGCGACTCATCTCTGAGTTAACAAATCCAAAATGGTTTGCTCTCTCATATATACAAACATATATCTACATATCTATACAGATCTAACTGTTACTTTCTGTGTTTTTTTCTGTTCTGATCTTCTGTGTATATTAGTGTCCGTGGATTCTTTACACTCTTTTACCTGTAATGATACATTAGGATTTGTGAAAATGTCAGGCCACTGCTTTAGGACTCTTCAGATCTCGTTTTCTTGACAAGTTTCATAAAGTTTATTTCTTTGTTACTAATCATACCATCATATATGTGTGTTTATGTGTGTCCGTGTGTAAAAGACCCGAGGGATGATTATTGAAACTTTATATCACTTCATGTTTTATTCTGTTAACAGTGCTAATGGGATTTTTCTATTTGATTATTATTATTATTATTATTATTATTATTATTATTATTATTATTTATTTATTTATTTTTTTGTCTAAATGTTCGTCAGATTCCTACTAAGCTCTCAGTATTCACTCCAGTGAAAGGTTTTTTGGAAAATGTTTTGTAGATAAATCAGGAAATTTCTTATTTAAATTCTGTGATAAAGAATATATATATATATATATATATATATATTGATAAGCAATTCTGTGATAAAGAAAGTAAAATTCAGAAAGACTAAATAGACATCTGATTGATGAAGTGAAAAGGGGTAGGCTAACGTGTTTATTTGATGGGCATCTGGGAACTGTTAGTGATACGTTTTATCGTGGATATTTTATGAACTAAATCTTAAAATACATCATCTGATCCAGATGATGAATGTATTAGTGTGTTTTTACCTAATCTTTCTTCTTCAACCTAATTAATCAAGTACCATGCATTCTTTGCATTATTTGTCCCATTATATTTTTTATTGGTACAAGTCTATTAAAACCCAATTCTATGATTTCATCTCAAGTAAGATGAAAGTAGGAATCAACAAATGTAATTGAATGGAAGATTGAGAAGTCGTGTGACTTGACTTCTTTTTCCTCACTTTCTCATGAAAACATGTAAAATAAACAAATCCTTTTAAGTGATAATTTACATCAATACTTGTTCCTGTTACCTTGTTATGGAGATAATGGTACAATAGATGGTATTATACAATTTAATTGTCAACCATTCTAAGAAACAATTGTTAGAAGGTTCGGGTTCACCATTTTATTAGATGGGTACCTTCGTCATATTCTCTGTATGTATGTGCTGTTTGTGAACTTGTTAAGCATGTCATACTCACGAGTCATTTTGTTGTTTGACGCTTTCTGAATTTCATGTGACTTCCCATGAACATGTTTTGTCTCTCATGTGACTTGGCGTACTTGTAGTATAATAGCCCTAAATGGAATAGTTTCCCTTCTGTTTTAAGAATGCAAGGTTAATTGGCATGCATAAATTCAAGATACTAATTTTTAGGCAAATAGTGTTTAAATGAAGATTTTGAATTTGTATTATACATTCTGCATTTCTGGGATCAACGCATATGGTCATACAATCTCTGTTTCTGTACATGTTGGATATAACTATGACACAAACATATTTGATGTGTCAAAAACTACAAATATAGTTTTTTTACTGCATTCCACTATTTGAGCCATCCACTGCCTGGTCAAACTATAATCCAAAAAACCAGATAGTTATCGACAGAATATATACATGATTCTTGCTGTTGAATTTCTTTTATTCTGATGCATGGCAGGCTCGCGGCCTCAAGAAACATTTGAAGCGGCTCAATGCCCCAAAACATTGGATGCTTGACAAGCTTGGTGGTGCATTTGTGAGTAAAATTATATCAAACCATCTGTCTTTTTTTTTTTTCGTTTTGTTTTTGTTCCTGAAATGCTCACAAATCAGTAGAATTTTTACTTTGATTATTTGTTACAAATTTTCTGGTGTGCAGGCTCCAAAGCCATCATCTGGACCCCATAAATCAAGGGAATGCTTGCCCTTGATTCTTATCCTGCGAAACAGACTGAAATATGCTCTCACATACCGTGAAGTTATTTCCATCTTGATGCAACGCCATGTTCTTGTTGATGGGAAGGTTAGGACAGATAAGACATACCCTGCTGGTTTCATGGGTATGTACATTTCTACCAACATTACAAGCTTTTATAGCTTGCTTTTTTATTTTTTATTTTTTTATTTTATTTTATTTTTTTAGGTAGAGTTGAGATCAGAAATGGAAATACAGATTTTTTTTTTTAATTTTATTATTTTTAAATTTTTATATTTAATAAACGAAAAAATTAAAACCACATATTGCGGAGTTGAAGTAGTGAGTTGGATCTAGAGGTGTAATCTCACAAAGAGATGCCACATTGGAACTATATTGCGTTTTTAAGCTAGGCTTTGTTTTATAAGTAGGGAATAGCCAACAAAAGTTTCCACTGCAGGAGACTTGGGAAAGCTTCTCTCTCCTATTGTAGAAACTACTCAGAATGATACATGTGACATAGACAGTTAACTACTCAGAATGATACATGTGACATAGACAGTTAGGTCTAGGATTCGTGTTAGGCACAGCTTTTGTTCTCCCTAGTATGCTTGTATGAATTTCTTTGTTTAAAAATTGAATTTTCTGTGTCACCAGATGTCGTATCAATTCCCAAGACAAATGAAAACTTCCGTCTCCTCTATGACACAAAGGGTCGATTCCGGCTCCACTCCATCAGGGATGAAGAGGCCAAGGTCTGTTCCTTTGCATAATATATCGTAGGTTTCATCTGTGGTTGTATTCTATACTTGGATGTCTATTATACATCATAAACTGTTATTTTCTGATTTCTTAGTTCTTGTATGATGGAAATACTGGAATTGAATTAGAACCTAATTATAATGATCAATTTTTTTTTTTCCTTTCTCATGTTCCATTATGAGACCTGTTAGATGATGGGGTGTTCATGCTTTTATTCGTATCTGATGCTTTCGATTTTTTTTCTCCTTCACAGTTCAAGCTTTGCAAAGTCCGATCTGTTCGGTTTGGGCAGAAAGGTATCCCATATATTAACACCTATGATGGACGGACTATCCGCTACCCTGATCCACTTATCAAGGCCAATGACACAATCAAACTGGACCTGGAGTCCAACAAGATCACCGACTTCATCAAGTTTGATGTTGGGAATGTTGTCATGGTTACTGGGGGAAGGAACAGAGGTCGTGTTGGGGTCATCAAAAACAGGGAGAAACACAAGGGAAGCTTTGAGACCATCCATGTCCAGGATGCCACTGGTCATGAGTTTGCTACCCGCTTAGGTAATGTGTACACCATTGGGAAAGGTACAAAGCCTTGGGTGTCTCTTCCTAAGGGCAAGGGTATCAAGCTGTCCATCATTGAGGAGGCTCGGAAGAGGCTTGCTGCCCAAGGTGCTACTACTGCATAAATTTTAATAATTGAACCTTGCTCAGGTATTTGCTTATAGGAGTTTGATCTGCAGGACCTTGTGTGCAGGTCCTTCTATGATTAGCTATCGTAGAAATTATGTTCTATTTTCATTCCTCAGTACAATTTTGAACTAAGTTTTGTTGTTGGAAATTTGAAAAAAAACTATTTATGTTGGTTGATTTTGGAGAAATGTTAGACAATGTTGCCCAGCTTTATCATCCAGGTTATTTATTCATTTATGCAATGTTGCCCAGCTTTATCATCCAGGTTATTTATTCATTTATGCTATGGTCTGTAATTGTTAATATTTTCTGCTCTGGCAAGCTCAATGTGTTTTTTTTACATAATCCCTAGAATCTTAAAAGGGCAGGCTTATATGTATGTTATCACTGGGAGATATCATTTATATACAAGAACACCAGAAGTGTGTTCGTTTGTATTACATGTGAATCATACGAAACAAAGGGAGCTGCCTTGGGTATGCTGTATTTGAAAAAAATAAAACAAAATTGCACAAAATTCATGTTAAAAAATGTCACAATGTTTTGATAGAAGCATTGATCAGACATGAAATTGTTCTAAGTGAATATCCGTGTGCTTCAGAGGCTCGTACTCCTCCCCAATGTACACCTCAAGATGATCTGCCAAGGTGGACTTGTCGATACTCTCTTGGTGATATGATTTGCAGACAAAATAAATGATTGTTTGGATGACAAGTCCACATGAAAACAACACTACTAGTATCAAGCAGCAGAGAAATTCATAACCTAGTTTACTACTTGGAGGCACCGGTACCCCATCTGCGCAAATCACGGCCATTGCCTCCTGAATCGAGATCAAAGAGAGACTGAACATTGTATAGAAAGTTGCAGCAACCATTGTCTTACCGTCAACCAATTTCTTGCTCTTGATCATGGCGTGAAGCCCTTGACAATCTTCCATTACCGAAACTACGTTTGCCAAATGCCAAACAGTGCTTATGTATATTAACCCCAATAGATAGAAGATGAAGAAAACAAAAAAGACCATCCTTGCAATATCATAAAAAAAAGTTGTGCAGAAGGCCAACATTAGCACAGCAATGAAGTTGTAAACGCATATAATGACAGAGCTCCATACAAAAGTGAGCATGAGTCTCTTCCAAACCTTAGGTACCACTCTCATCACCTTCCTGAAGTTGATTTCTTTGCCTGTGTAAATACATGCTATGGTATAAACTACTGCAGATGTAGAAAGGAGGGAAAAGATGAGGAGGATGATGTAGTAGACAATTGTGAAGGTGAAAAAGGCAGTGTATCCGGATGCAAGGATGTCGTATAGCTTGTTATATCTAGGAGTCCCCATTTGGGTGTGGAGCAACCTGATTTCATTGATGAAGATCTCTCCATACATAGACTCAGAAATTACAATGTGGCCTAAGAAGATGAGGGAGAGAGGAAGAACAAGAGCTAGGGTTATCTGGGCGAAAATTTTTCTCCGTGAGATGATTATATTGGCAGATTCTTTTATGATGCCAAAGAACCCCAGAAACTGTACCTCCTCTTGTTCCCTGTCCATGGTTTCCGTTGAAAAAATGGCAGGGAGAGAGGAGGCAGACCGGGGGCTCGAAGATGACCCCTCACAGGATTTCTAGGGACTAATATCTCTTCCATGATTAGCAGCATGGGAATGTTTTATGTTATCCATAATGTAGCACCGAATTCTTCTACATATCGAATGAGTGGTAGAGTTTGCATACTTGTTTTGTGGAGGAGATCATGTATGAGAATTAGTTAAAGCTGAATTTGTAATGCAGGCAATAACAACATAAAAGGTTTGCTAAAAATAGGGTGACCACTTGTATGATATGTATGGACACCAAAATAGCTTCCCTTTTTTAAAGAGAGGAGGATGGGTTATTTCTTAATTAATGGTTAACAACGAATTGAGAACTAGGCAGTGGTAATGGTAAACATTCTCCCAGAAAGAGAGATGCACAAGGCTTTTCAGGAGAACCTCTTTCCCTTTTTTTTTTTTTTTTTTTTTTGAAGCAAACGAAGTTCTTAGTTTTAATGGGCAGACACTGGGTGTTGCATATTGAATTGAAGCATTTAGCCATGACAGAGTACTGATTGTGATTAAGAACAAAGTAATATCAATTTCGAGGTTATTTCATGAGCTTTTTAAATAGACCTTGGGAAAGACAAATTGGAGACAAACCTCAACTTTTGGAATTGTTTTGCACAAAGTGATTGCTTTCAGACTCGAATATGCATTATCAGAATTTCATAATAGTGATGAAAAGAATTTAGAGAGACCAAATCTTGATTAGCCACACACCACACCTAAATATAACTTTTAACAACAGTCTTGATGTGCGGAACACACATAAAACAACTGGTTTGGTTAAGAGGGTGAGAGTTGGTGAGATTCAAGTAAGGAAGTTGGTAACACAACACCAAAAATGGTTACAGAGCACATGCTTCAACCTTCTACCACTAATATTACCACTAGTAGTAATGCCAAGAAACTTGCTTCAGCTTGATAATACTATTTTTGTTTGATGCAATTAAATTTTAAGCAGCAATTTATTTTTTTAATTTTTTTTAATTTTTTATTTTTGGCCTAATAGCTAAGCTGACACTATACTTTAATTGAACTCATCACATCACTATTGGGCCAAGTGTATGCTTCAACCAACCTACTACTTCCAGTAGTGTACTGATAAGAAGATTAAGCAAAGCATTAAGCTGACATTAATTTATTAATAAACTAATAAACTACTAATTACATCATTGATGGATTTTGAAGAGAGAGAGAGAGAGAGAGAGAGAGAGGTAGACACAAACACAAAGGCACTGAAAGAAAAGCCAACCAACCGTTTGACCATAGGGCCCATCAGCCTTCCTCAAATGCTATAGAAATGAGCATCTTTGGTATGAGGAATAAGTGGAGAAAGCAAACTCCAAAGCAACTCTGCCTGCTCAATGTCCATTTCTGTGTTTCTGTATTATATAATTCAGTTGTCCCCACTATTTCTGTATGCAAAATATGTCCTTATAAAACAAAATTGATCTAATGGTATAGTTTTAACTTTAGGTTTAAAATGAGTAATTTTTATGATTATCATAGACTTGGACATACTCGTGAATATTATTAAACTTGATCAAGGAGCTGATTATTGGTGTATTGGAACTATCCCACTAAAAGATATAGACTATTCTCTTTGATTTCTTATTGTTGAGGGGCCATTTACGTTTGAACCAAAGTGTAAATGCTGTGTATGAAGTTTTTTTTTCCCCCATCTCCATGAATGTTGCTTTCTGCTATGTTGGATGCTTCTTGTTGTTTAGTGTTTGCAGCATTAGTTTATTAGGGCATGAGTGAGTGAGAAAATATAAAAAGAAGTAAAGACTGTGGAAGAGCAATGTTGTAGATGGGAAGGTGGAAGGGTTGGCTCTGCATCAACTTCAAAATATCACCTCTCTTTCCATCAAAAGGCATACTAGTGAAGGTTACTTCATGCCTCAGAAACAAGGCCAAAGGTATGATTTACGTCCACACGCACACTCACACACACACACACACACACAAAAAAAGAAGAAGAAAATGGTCAAATGTAGTGCATGAATTAATAATGTATTTTAAAGTGTGTTTCTTCTAAATTGTAGTGGTAATGATGGCAGAGAATAGGCAGGGGCTGGTGAGTCTTTACAAGGACATGGAAGCTTGTGCAGGATATGCAGATTTACAAGTGATGTGGGAGATGATTCATTCTTCATGTCCTCCAAATACCCATAAGAAGAGAAGCAGCAAGAGGCCTTCTCAATGGAGATTCTGTTTTAGGCCAACTTAAACTTTTTCTGTTCCTTTTCAAATTATCTGAATTTAGATGGGTTTGATACACATCTTCTTCTTCTTCTTCCTTTTTTTTTTTTTTTTTTTTTTTTTGTGTCATTCTTCTGGCTTCAACTAAAGAGGTCTCACTTCCCATCTATATTCCTCCTCTATAATGCAGTAAATATAAGCAGCTGAGTGTATATACTATTCTATAGATTTCTCTGATTCATTAAGTTAATACTCTCTATGCAGTCTTCATTGAAAACTAAATCCCAATTTCCCTACTTTCAGGTGTAACGATACATTGCAATCAATGATGTTTATGTTGCATTTGGAAGGACCAAATTGGCCCCTTGGAACTAGAATTGGAGAAAATTTTCAATTTATACTTTGAACTTAAATTTCCACCAATTTCAAATCAAAGGCGTCAATTCTTAGACGATTTTACTTCCCTATCAAAAATCCAAAATCCAAATTGTAAAAGTAATGCCAAGTTGATTCTTGAGATAAAAACCTATATATGGTTGATGATTGATGAAATTTTATGAGTGTCGTCCCCAGGCGTTTATAGCATCATATCTCTCCCATCAAGTAGTCACGACAGAGAATAGCTTCCAGCTATAATCCATGAAAGCAATATTGTTAAAAGCCTTGTCTAATGTGACAATTATTTTGTTTTCAGCAGAACAAACTTCATATTTCTGGGTACAAGCCCATTGTTATTATCGTTACAATAGTACATGCATTCTCTACATAACAATGACAACTGATCCTAGGTTTATTCTCATAATAATAATACACACATTTTCTACATAACACCACCTCTTATCTTATGCCGCAAAGAACACAGGCTGGTAAAGAAATAAAACAAACAGTGAAAAGCTTCAAAATGCTCCATCTCCCTCATGTAGGAGCATCTGATCAAAGTGCCACACTCCTGTAGATGCAACCACCAATTAGTCATAGCGCCAATAGCTAAAATAAATTTAATATGCATCTATATATATATATATATATGTATATATGTATGTACATATATATATGAGGGGAAAGGTTTGACTTTAAATTTGATTCGTACCGTGTCCTTTTCCAACAAGTCTCAATTGCGTGACATAATCTGCGATTTTCTTAATGGCATCTACCTAGCGAAGGGTAAATATAGCAACAGTTAAAAGCCATAAAAGATTATTATCCACTTGATCGAGGATGACAAAATTCAATTCATGTGTTTTCCAGCTTCCATGTGTTGTCTGTTACCTCTAGGCCCTAGTCACTTTTTGAAGAACATATTTTACTTTTAACTTCGTTCAAACGATAAAAACAATAAATAAATAAATGTGTTTTTTCATTGAATGTGTATTTTTGGAACTAAAATGTTTCAGAATGTGACAATATCAAGCCAAGAAGCACATATTTTAAGTGGAATTTGTATCACAAAGCCTCTTCAAATGCTCTTTTCTAGTGCAAACCAAAATAAAGCATTTAACCAAGACTTGGGAAAGATGATGTTCTTAGTTTACCTGCTCAGTTAAGAATTCAGTCTCGATAAAATCTGCCATTTGAGGATCGTTATTCTGACAGGCCACCTATTGTCCATCAAACCGAACATGTCAAACCACAAATTAATACATTTGATAAGGGATGCAAATTCATCAAACTATAGTTGATTGAATAAATGTTTGGATCATCACACTAGTGAATATTTCTCCATTTCAGAGAATGAAATCAAAATAAAGAAATCAGGTATAGAGGGAAAAGATGTTTTACTTTGTGCAAGCACAGAAGCTTTTCATTTGTCAACTTCTCCAACGACAATGCTAGTTCCATTGCTACATCAAGAGATCATAAACAATCAGATCGAGCTAGTTATGCAATCATTAGTGGAAATCACTGTTAAAAAGTTTAAACCAAAGCACAAACATGCCGTTTGGTAGTAATTGAATTTGAGATTTAACCAAGACATAATGTGATAATAGATTACTAGAGATCGGATTTTGGATTAATTAAAACACACTAAAGAAAAAAGATGAGCACAAACCATATGTAACACTCGGGCATCTATCTACCTCTAGTATGTAACCTTACAGAATTTAGAAGATAATGACTAAACTTACCATACAATGCATCACCCTTCTCAACATGATCAAATTCTGAAGGGGGCATCAGTATTGAGTGTAGCTTCACTCTTCCTCCTCGTTTGTTCTTTTAAATAGTCATCCGAAAAAAAGAAAAAAGAGAAAAAGAAAAGATATGATGTTTAACTCAAAGACAAGTAATTATATAAAAATAAATGTTGTGAGGTAAAAAAGAGAAAAGGGGAACATATGATATTTGGGAAATACCTGGTATTCCATAAATTTCTCAGCATGTTCTCTTTCTTCTTCACTTGACTCTTTGAAAAATCTGAATGCAAAGAGATTAGATTATAAATCAACTCATAGAAATTACTTTAAAAATAAATAAATAAAGGATGGTTTGGGGTTGTTTTGTGATTACTTGGCAAGGCCCTTGAGAGCAACATTGTCTCTGTCAAAGTAGGCATACAAGGAGTGATACACATACGACACATTGTACTCCACACTGCAATTCAACAAAGAAACACAGTTTTAGAGAAAATCAAGACTACTCATGTTCATAAAAAAGAACCTGAATACCTACGGGCATACATACTGTTTTCTCAAAGAATCCGAACACTTAAATACATACCATATTGCAGTAGAAAACAAATAGTGAAATGT